TTTTTTTTTTTTTAATTTCTGACAGGAAGGCCTGTCTCTGATAATAATTTTAATAGAAAATATAAAAAAAAAAAATCGAATTATCTGGTTCTCATTTAAATTTTCCACGGCGAAATTTGGCTTTGCATATTCATCACCTCCCTGGGTCACCAACCTCACGCTGTCCTTGACCTTGCTAAATGTCAAAAAGCTCCTGGGATTTCTCTTCCCCAATCCAACCATCCGTGATTTCCATTTTTTTTTTTTTTTTTTCCCTGCCTTGCTCCACGTGGATAAATCACACCCAAAGCCATCATTGCCTGTGGGATATTCTGGAATTGGCCTCGATTGGATGAGGATCTTAGAAGAGATTTTGGTGTTTTACAGTTTTCTGAGAAGTTTCTGGACTAAAATGAAATTTTATAGGAATTAAAGAGCAGGGAATGATCCATAAGTTAAAAATCACAACATGGGAATTATCCATCTGGAGTGCCTAAATCTCTGTATTTATATATCAAATAAATACAGCAATAAATATCCCCTCAGGAAAGTCAAAGATTTAAGCTCAGCTTAGCATCAACCTCTGCCTTATCCTGGGAAAATCCTTTGGGCAGGAATTTGGAATTCCTTGGATACAACCACCAGGATGGGGAAAAAAACCCCCACACTTTGGGAAGCAAATCAAAATTTTAAAAGCAATGGGAGCAGCATTATTTTGATATTTTCAAGTTGTTAAGGTCATTTCTTCATTGGAAGAGAAGGGGAAAAAGGGCTCAGAATTTAAAAAACTTGACCCAGTTCTAGACTTGTTTTTAGGCTGTCCTTGCTCCCACCACAAATTGCCCAAATTAAACCCAACTTTTATCTCTAGAGAAAGAATTCATTGAGAAAGTGATAAAGGCACCAGCCTGGGAATGGATTGGGTTATGTAATATTTGTCCTGAATATTAATCAGCTTTTCCCACTCAAATCTTCAGTCGTAAGGGGGAAGAAAAGAGATGTAAATAATATTAATATTAAATGCAAATGCTGCTTGCCTTCATCATCCACCCTGCCTAATCACAGATTCATAACAGATTTGTTTAAAAATCCAGATATTTGCTCCATTTGATTTCTCACATTCCTTGGTTATCCCTTTTTAATGAGTTTTCATAATTAAAATTTTATCATCGGGAAGATTCCACTCTTTGGGAGTTTTTGCCACTCTCCTGATCCCCATCCACAAGACAATTCCATGAAGTTGGGAAATTCCCACAGGGATTGGCCACCCTACCTGTTCAAACAGTTTCTCCTAATGACTTTCCTAAAATTCCCAGAGTTTTTAGCTCATTAATCCCAGCCTCATTTGGGATGGGGAACGCTTCCTTCTGTCTCCACAGCTTTTATTTCATTATTAATACAATATTTGCATATAAATATTTCATCAGGCAGCTATTTCAAGAGTAGACCCAGCACATTCCTGAGCTGCCAAATTTCCTTTCCAAGGCTGAAAAATTCCTTTCCCCATCCCCAGCTGCAAAGAAATCGAAAACCAAGGAAAGGGGACTCAGGGTTGGATTCTCCAGCTGCTGGAAAATGGGAATAACTCATTTATGCTGCTCCACTCAGCACCTGAGATCATCCCTCAGCCTCATCTTCCTCCTTAATTAACTCTGTTCCATTCCCAATCTAATTCCTGCAGGGTGAGCCCCTTTTCCAGAATTATTTGGGATTTATTGCCAAGGAAGAACGAGGCAAATAAAGCCGAGCTCCAACGGAACGGGAAATTCTGGATGTGGCCACCACAGCTCTGCCAGCCAGGCTTCCAGGAAACATCTTGGACATTTCAAGAGGATTCCCAAGGGTTTGGAGATGGGGTTTGTGCTGTAAATTGGATTTTATGGAGGGCAGAAGCTCAGTGCTCCGATCTCCTGAGAAGGGACACGATGGAAACGTGGCCTTAGGGGACACCTTGGTGGCACTTTCATGTCCCCAGCCTCTCCTGCAGCTGCAAAAGTGGAGCTGGAGAATTGTCCCTGGATTGGGCCCTGTCTGCCACCAGCAGGGTTTGATCTGTCCCTTAAAAATTGATTTATCCACACTTGCAGCTGGAAGACCAGGGAAGAGAATCCCGGAGTGGTTTGGGTGGGAAGGGACCTCGAATATTCCCCAGAGCCACCCCTGGATAGGCAGGGACACCTCCCACTGTCCCCAGTGTCCAACCTGGCCTTGGGCACTGCCAGGGATCCAGGGGCAGCCACAGCAAATCTGGGAATTCCAGCCCAGCCAGGAATTCCCAATTCCCAAGATTCCATTTAACCCATGATGGGAAACCAAACACAGAGGAAAATTCATCTTGGAGCAACCTGGGGTAGTGGGAGGTGTCCCTGCCCATGGAGGGGACTGGAATGGGATGGGCTTGAAATTCCCTCAGGTTTTCCTTGAGAAATTTTAGGATTTAACTTTAACAAAAAAAAAAAAAAAAATCTTAAATCACAGCTCAAGAACAAACTGTGACCAAGACCACAAATGCAAAATTTTCATGGAGAACTCCCAGGCTGGGATCATGAAATCACTGAGATGGGACAAAGGGATGGCAGTGGGAAGGAGAGGTGAGGAAAGCAAAAAACTCAGTAGATGAGGGGCTCAAATTTAAAAAAAAAAAATCCTTTCTATTTGAATTTACTTTTCATTTTTCTTTAGCTTGACCCAACAGATGTGACCTGGAGCAGTAATTCCATGGTAAGATTTGCCCTGTGGAACACTGGAACAGCTTCCCAGGAATGGGCACATTCCCAAGGCTGCTCAGGGTGGGATTGTCAGGGTGTCTGCATTTGTGATCCTTGTGGGTCCCTTCCCACTCAGGATATTCCATAATTCCTTGGAAATAAATTAATTAACCACTTCTAGAGTGGGAATATCCTCACTCAGCACATCCACAGCGAAATCCATGAGTTATTCTCTAAATAAAATGTTCCATTAAATATCTTTCCCTGTTCATCACTGCTGGAAGCAGTTTGGATAAATATTCCCAAATTCTGAAAAGAACTGGTTTTTATGACAATTGGTTAAATGCCACCCTCGGTACAGAAACGCTGCTCAAGTTGTTGAGAACAAAAACTTTCCTCCCACAGGAAAAATAATCAAAGCTTTCCATAATTTTTCTCCATTCATCTCCAATTTGTCACTTGTCAGGATGTGAATAAAAGGAGCAGAATTCTAAACATGGAGAGATGAAAGGAAAAGCTCCTGGAAATACCTGTTGAACTCCTACTTCTTGGAAGTATTTTCAGGTTGTGTCTCTCCTCTCAGAATTAATAAAATTCTGCATCTCAAGCAGAACCAAAATACAGCAAAAAAGAGGAAGTTTGGCAACAGGAAAAGGTGGGGAAATAAAAGTGACCCCAGCAATGCATCCCCAGAATGTGGGAGCCAGCAGAGTCATCCCATGGGATCCACCAGGAACTGCCTCAGGTCCTGAGGAAGCGTTGGGAATTCCTCAGCCACAAAATATTTCCTACTTTTCACCAGAAAAAGGGGAAAGAAGCTATTTCCTCCCTCCTTATTTAGAGGGATCCATACTCCACGGTTTCTCTGGTGGTTTTTATTCCCAGATTCACAGAATCCTGGGATCAGTGAGGATGGAAAAGAGCTCCAAGGTCACCAAGTCCAACCTGTGCCCAATTCCCACCCTGTGCCCATCCCAGAGCTCTGAGTGCCACCCCCAGGAATTGCTGGGACACCTCCAGGGATGGGCACTCCAAACCTCCCTGGGCACTTCCAATCCCTGCCCACCCTTTCCATGGGGAAATTCCTGCTGCTCTCCACCCTGAGCCTGCCCTGGCCCAGCCTGAGGCCGTTCCCTCTCCTCCTGTCCCTGTTCCCTGCGAGCAGATCCCAAATCCCCCCGGCTGTCCCCTCCTGTCAGGGAGTTGTGCAGAGCCACAAGGGCCCCCCTGAGCTTCTTTTTTTTTTCCAGGAAAAAATGATAGAGCCAAGGACAAGAGGCACAAACCCCTGATTCCAAAGTCCCAGTGGGATGAACCCACTCCCAGCACAGCCAACCCCATCCCTGAGACAAACCCACAAGGGAGAAGTTTCCATCCTCCCTTCAGCCTTGACTTTGGGGTTTAAAGCTGGAGCAGCAGGAAAAAGCTGGGATGGAAATCCTGCAGATCCCAACCATGTAATCAATGCATCCATAATCTGTCACAACCCAGAGCCAGGAAAAACAAATCAGGTTCTTATCAGCACCAGTGTGGAGCAGCTCTTCCCTGGTGGCCCCAAAAGAGGTCACCTGTGCTGGGCACAGAGCGCTGCTAAAAAGCCAAGTGACAGAAGATTGGGGCACCTGAAAGCGGAATAAATGAGAGCTGCACTTCATAAAACACCCAAATTAAATCCTGGCAGAGCAGCAGACCCAGGGAAGTCACTGAGCACAAAGAATGGCTCATTATCCCCCCGTTATTCCCCAGAAACCACCTCAGACCAGGCTGTCCGTGTTCCGACAACAAACGCTGCCCGTTTCCAAAATAAAAAAATAACTCATCCCCCCCTTTTCCCTCCCTTTTCCCGAGGCTGCCTGGCTGAGCAGAGCAGAGCAGCCTGGATCTGGATGCAGATCAGCTCCCAGGGAACAGCTCTTGCCCTCCTTTTTTCCTCCTTGTTTTACACAGCAGCAACAAATGAGCTCAGGATCAGCTCAGCATTTAGAGAAATATGTCCTCCCATCTCAGCTGCTTGTTCTTGTGTCAAGGAATTCAAAGCTGCGGGGAAAAATAATGATTGCCTCACACTTGGTTTGGGTTTTTTTTTTTTTTTTTTAAACCAGAAATGAGACTCCTATGTCATTTTTACCTCTGTATTTACGTGGAATTCATGGATTCGGGGAACTACAAACGAGACATATCAAACACGCAACAGCCGCAAGGCTCTGGCCGCCGTTTGTTCAGAGGATGAATAAATCGACTTTTCTCGTCTCAACAACAACAAGAAGGGAATAAAAAAAAGAGAAAATGAAAGGGGGATGAGGTTCCACTCACACTGCACGATGAGCTGCACCAGGGCCTCGCGGGGTTTGACGTTGAAGCCGTTGTATTGGCTGGTCTGGCAGCGGTACGTGCCCGACATTTCCCGGGAAACGTTGACGATCCGAAGGATCCCATCGTAGCTCTCGGTCTGCAGGGCCCCGTCTGGCATGGCCACCTCTTTGTCAGCCCGGGACCACAGGATGATGGGTTTGGGTTTCCCTGTCACCTGGCACTGCAGCTCGATGGTGTCCCCTTCCCGTGTCACCAGCGGGGACTTCTCCTGAGGGACCGTCAGGTTGGGGGGCACTGGAAAATGGGGAAGGAAAAGTGTTGGATACTCTGGGAGGGGTTTTGGGATTTCTGTGCTGTCAGGCACTGATCCCTGTGATAATTGATAAAAGATTCGTGTTAATCACAAAAGTATTGGGGTTTGTATGAACCAGAGTAGCGAGGTCTGAAGTGAAGCATAAAGGAAAATACATGATTAAATCATTCTGGTTTAAATCCCCTTGCTATGAATATTCTATTTTCCAAATAAATTGTGCCTACAACCAGCCTGAAAAAATCAGACTTCCCAATAGCCCTTCCTGCCTTTATTGGATCAATGCTGCCAATCCCAAGGACCAGACTCCCAGAATTTCACTGCTGGTTATCTGCAAGGACCACATGGTTATCAGTGAAACTACGGCAGGAGATTTTGTGAATTTGTGTAAGGATGTTTATTCCACCACCACTGCTTACCTGGCAAAATTATGACAGCAAAAAAACCCCAAAAATTATTGATTACAATGAGAAATCACAGTGTAAGAAGAGGCTGCAAACCGAGGTTGGATGGAATGTGGAGTGGGCAATGACCCCTCACGTTCCCCAGCACTCCTTGATCCATTTATATCAAATAAAGCCATCTAAATTCTGCTGAATATCGAGATTTCTGTTTCTCATTTATAACACCCCCAAAAGAACACAGCTTTTGACCTGAGGCCGTGGAGAAGCTTCCAAAATGGAATAATAAAACTAAAATCACTGGTGTGTAGTTGGAATAAAAATGTGTAATGTCACACGGTGAAAAATTTGGAATTTGGGGGTTTGGGATATAGCAATATATGGAAAGCAAGATGGAGGTTTTAGGGCTGAGGGTTTTTTGCTTATTCTCCCAAGCTTTGAGGCCTTGGAGAAGCTTCCAAAATTGAATAACAGAACTAAAATCACAGGTGTGTAGTTTGAATAGAAGTGTGTAATGTCACACGGTGAAAAATTTGGAATTTGGGGGTTTGGAATACATTATTAGGTAGAGGGCAAGATGGAGGTTTTAGGGCAGAGGTTTTTCTTTCTTCTTGTCCCTCTTCTTCTTGGGTCTGGGTGTTATTTTTGTGATTGGATAGAAAATGCCTCACTGCAGGTCAGGGGTGTTTGGTCATTGGGCCAAAAGTAAAAATAATTGAGGTGTTAGTTCTTAATTGGACAATTAATCCTTAAGAGACCTTGTAACGAGCGAGATCCATCCCCATTTCTCCATTTTTAGCTTGTTAGCTCAAAGTGCTGCAGCACTCACTGAAACACGGATGAGAATTAATAAACATCTGAGTCTGAACACGAAATTCCATCTCTCGTGCTTCAATCCCGACTCTGAGTGAAGAAAAAAAAGGAAAATTCTCAAAAGTAACTCAGTGGTGCCCTGGGTGAGGATTGAACTCACAACCTTCAGCCTCATAAGAGAGGGCTGGGCACCATGGATGGGCTTCCTGCTCGGAATTATCCATGGAAAAGCAATTTATCCATGGCAAAGCATGGATTGCCATCACTGGAAGCTGCCAGCTTTATGGGGTGAAGCTCTCAGCAGCCTGAGAAGATTTCCCAGCCCTGCTGTGACACTCGTGTCCCCCTGGCACTGTCCCACTGCCCTCCCACCACCCCTCACCTCCCCACTGCCAGCTCTGCTTTCCTTCCTAGGATTATTTGGCACTAAATCCCATTTTTAAAAAAATTTTTTAATCCAGCCCATGGATAAATGGCTGCAGATAAGGAAGGATTGTGGCAACTGAGAAATCACCCCAGAATTGGAGGCCTGACCCCAAAAAGCAGCTGGAGGTTCATCAGAGTGGTGTTCATCCAACAGGGATTGGCATCAACAATTCCAACAGGGATACTGGAATTATTTCAGCCCCATGGAGCAGGAACAGTGAGCTGGGACGAGGATGTGGAGGGGTGGGAACAAATCCAGAGGAATCCACGGAGCTGCTCCAGGGCTGGAGCCAGGCTGGAAGAGCTGGGAATGTTCCCCTGGAGAAAAGGATCCAAGGAAATCTCAGAGCCCTTTCCAGGGCCTGAAGGGGCTCCAGGAGAGCTGGAGAGGGACTGGGGACAAGGGATGGAGGGACAGGACACAGGGAATGGCTCCCAGTGCCAGAGGGCAGGGATGGATGGGATGTTGGGAATTGGGAATTCCTGGCTGGGCTGGAATTCCCAGATTTGCTGTGGCTGCCCCTGGATCCCTGGAATGTCCAAGGCCAGGCTGGACATTGGGATTTGAGCAGCCTGGGACAGTGGGAGGTGTCCAGAATTCCTTGGGAAATGCTTGGAATGCTGTGTGGTGGGTGGAGAGCTGGAAAATCCTGATTTCAACACTGCCCACCCTCCTTTTCCTTTGGTGCCTCCTGAAAACTCATCTTTCCTCGTGGACCTTCTGTCCTGAAGCTCAGAGAGACATTCCCTATGGAAAAACAACTCCTCCAGGAGCTTTTCCTCTCCTCCCTGTCCTTCCTTCCTTTCCTGAAGTGCCAGGCCTGACAAAACCCTCCTGTCTGCAGGAAAAATCTCCCAAAGCAAATTTCAGCCCCCAAGGGACAGAAACAACAAATTCATCCCAGAGAGAAGCAATTCCAGCTCTCCCCTGGGATCTGTTCCATGTCTCCAGCCCTGACAAAGCTGGCTGGAATCAAGAGTTGGAATCTGGGGCTTTCACAGGAACCCAAGTGCAGCTTTCAGCTCTTTTGAAGGCTTTGATAATTCCTGTCAGGTGGGACAGGCAGACATGGGAAGAGATTTTTCCACAGGGAAGGGAAGGAAAAATAATTTTATACAAAAAAAACCCAACAAACCAACCAACCAAACAAAACAAACCACCAAAAAACAACCAGGAAAAATTAAAAAGCAATAAATAACAACTGCTTAATAAAACATTCTCAATATTAATAAAACATTATTATTTCTCAGTTAGGTCGTTTTGTTCCATGGCAGGTTCTGAGCACAGGAAAACTCCCAGGGGAGCTGAAGAACTGTGAAATCATGGAACAAAGTGGGAGAAAGGTGTTGTTCCAAGAAGAAAAATTCAGTTTTTAGGAACAGGTGCCTGCCTGCAGCCAGGACATCCTGGAATTTCCTGCATTTTCCAGCTCACCTGGCCTGTGGCTTCTCAGCTGAGGTCAAATATGACAGAGCCCTGTGTGGATCAGGAAAAATCCTGGATTTATCTTTTTCCAGACCTGCTCCTGGCTGGGACTGGTTGGATCCAAACCTTTCCCAGCTGGATGGAGGCTCCTGCTCCCACTCCTGGCACCTCAGATTCCCCTGGCTCAGGGATTCCCTGCCTGCAAGAGCGAGGGGTGCCAGCCCTGGGATGAGATCCCTGATATCCCGAGATCCCTGAGATCCCAATTTCCCGAGGGAAAATTCCTGTGCCGGCCCCCAGAGCTCTGCTGCAGCCCCAGGTGAGGCCAGGGTGGGATTTTCCCTCTGGAAATTCCACCTGGGACACTGGCAGAGCTTTCCTTATCAGCTGTCACCACCCTGGTGGTGCTGCTCCTTATCTCAGCGAGGTCAGCTCGGTGCTGTGCTGTTCTCTCTGCTTTTTCTGGAAAAACTGATGGAAAAAAGAGAGGGAATTGTTGCACTTGCACAGGGGATTTTTGTCGTGGATCTGCTTTTTTTTTTTTTTTTTTTTCCCCTCCTTCCAAACATGGATGTGCTTCCTGTGTTTTTCCCAAATTCCCAGCTGGAATGGCTGATTCCTGAGCTGGGGTTGGATAACTCAGACCCTTTGTTCTCACACAGCCTGGAAATGAAAAAAAAAAGCAGATCCACGACAAAAATCCCCTGTGCAAGTGCAACAATTCCCTCTCTTTTTTCCATCAGTTTTTCCAGAAAAAGCAGAGAGAACAGCACAGCACCGAGCTGACCTCGCTGAGATAAGGAGCAGCACCACCAGGGTGGTGACAGCTGATAAGGAAAGCTCTGTCAGTGTCCCAGGTGGGAAGATCCCCTCAAATCCCTGGCTCCTCATTCCCGTGGCATTTCCCGGTGCCTGTCACCGTGAGCTCATTATGGCTCCTGGGATTTAATCACCTTCTTCCTGGGAACAGCACAGGGGACAGGAGACACAAGGCCATCCATTAGGAGGAAGAATTCCAG